GCGGGCGCGGCCGGCGGGGGGGGGGCCGCCCCCGGGCGCGCCCGCTCGGCTGAGCCCCGGCGCGCCCCGCGCCCGCTGACAGCTGCAGCCGGGCTCCAGCCGTCCGCTCCGAGCTAGGCGGCCTCTGCCCCTCTGCACTCCGCCTCCGCCCCCTCGGACTCCCTCCTCTCCGCCTCTACCCCTCCTGCCCCTGGTGCGGATCGTTTCGCAACTGCTCGCCTCTCGCCCCGTGCCCGGCTGATTTTTCCATTTCCCGGCCCCCTCTTCTTAAGTACTTTGCACTCCGCCTTTGGGGAGAGGGGCTAGAAAGGGAGCGGGTGGAGCGTCCAGAAGAGAAGGAAGCGAGGCCCGCAGGAGGAGGCGTCTCGGCGGACCGTGGGGAGGAGACCCCACGCCACCCTTTCTGGTCATCTTGCCTCCCGCCCCGCCCCTGCTCACACTCCCTCGCGGGCGAGCTACTTTCGGACGAGGAAAGTGAGGGCGGCCCTAGGTGACAGCGCCGCGGGGCCAGTCCCGGGGAAGCCGCGCGTCTGCTCGCGTCTCGTCCGTCGCGCTCCGAGCTAGGGCACAGTCCAGACCAAGGATGGCTTCGACCACAACCTGCACCAGGTTCACGGACGAGTATCAGCTTTTCGAGGAGCTTGGAAAGTAAGCGCCTTTGCCAGGCATCCGCGCGTCCCCTTTCCAGCAGAGGGCGGGTCTCTTTGCCCCCGACCCACCGGCCTCCGGCGTGGGGCGAGGGAGTTTGGGAGACCAGAGAGGGAGGGTTTGTCCGCTTTGGGGAAGGTGCTGTCTTATTCAGGGGAGAGGACAGAGACGAGTAGGACCCCTTACCACGACTGTGGCCCATTCTCATAATCCTTAGCCCACCTTCTCCCGCTCCCCCACCCTCTTGCACTGAGAGACTTAGCGAATTTACGATCTCTGCAGTTGTAGCTGTCATCCTGAGAAGTGTGTGTGTGCGCGCGCGCGCGCGCGTGTATGTGTGTTTGGAGAGGAGATAAGAACCCATGTAAAATGCAACATAGATCGTGTTTTCTGTAAATAGAGATGCCAACTGGTTAGCCGGCGCGTCGGCCGTATGACCCACGTACCGATGAGAACTCACGGCCACAGACGGTGCCATATTTATTGGTGCCGAAAGTTCAACTTGGCGTAGAGTCTATTTCGCATCCAGTAGTTGTTCTGTCCAGGAAAAGGGCCACCCAATAGAACCCAACCCCCTGCCTCACATCTACAATTATTCTTTGCACTAGATTACTCGCTCACCATCATTCTTCCTAGGATTTACGTGTGCATCTTCGCGTTCTCTGGGAGGATTTATTTATACAGGCAAGGGACAAGCCCTCTGGAGAACCGGAGAACGCTCCCCAAGGGTAGCCTAGCATTGTGTAAAACAATCTCCTACACCCAACTGGCAGAACTACTTAGAAATGTTAAGGAAGGGGGCAGGAGATGTACTGAGGACCTGTGCAAAGGGACCTAGGGGCCGAGCTGTGAATGCTGACTTATGTAGCATCACACCCAAACCTAATTTCTCTATCGCTAGTTTCGACTATTAATTACTGAAAGGGGTGACTTTATGTGTATGTTGGTGTATACAGTTCGATTAAAGGAAATGTGAATATTTTTTACATGTAATGAATATAATATCCTTATATATTTATATATTGTTGGCTGTTAAAACATGGAGAATATGTCGGAAGGACAGCTTAATTCAAATCTCTCCCCTCCCCCAGCCCCAAACAGAGCATAGAGAAATCACCGTATCAGGATTTGTTAAATCACACAAATGTGCTCAAGATTTATATTTTAATGAAAAAAATCGCCGTATTTACTTACTTGGAGCCACGTTAATTTTTTTTTCCCTACCAAAATAAATAGGCAGCAGCTTTTTGCTCTTCCTCAGCTCTCTTCTTTGTAGGGTTTTCTCAGAGCATTTGGTGCTGTATAAGTATGAATTGGAAAATGTTTTCAAATATCATTTGCAAACGAGAGTCTTCATAATTGGCAATTGTTTTCATTTTGTTGATTAATAATGTGTGCTCCCAGTTAAATAAAAGTTACTTTTATTCTTCAACGTTAAAAAAGGTCTGGGTTTTCAGGGAGAATTGTCCATTTTCTGGGTATTACTGTAGTGCACTGATATTTGACAATCCACCAAAAAACAAAAAAAGCTCATATTTTGTAAATTTTTAATAGAATACCAGATCTGATTATATTGATGACCTGCTAATTATTGATTTCCAGGGGGGCATTCTCAGTGGTGAGAAGATGTATGAAAATCCCTACTGGACAAGAATATGCTGCCAAAATTATCAACACCAAAAAGCTTTCTGCTAGGGGTGGGTATTTTCAACCACATATATATGTTAATTTTGTATTTGTCATGTTGATTGTTGGTTCTGTTGTATGTAAATATATTATGTATTTATAATTGAATTCTAGACTTAGGTATAATATTGCATGTTGAAAGTATTTCCTTCCTGAATGACTTTTGGTCTGTACAGTTTAAAAATAAATAACAAATATAATTGTTATTACTTAATAAATTTTTATTAAAAATCTATCTGTCCTATGAGCAGCAGCACAAATAACTATATAACAGAGCAAATAGATGTCACTAAGTGCATTTTCCTTTTAGCTCTAGTGTAAAATAACCTTTAGAAGGACCCTGGAATGGAAAAATGTAAGCCTCACAACTGTCATAATTCCCTTTTGCTTTTGAGAGGAAAAACTAGGTCATAGCTCAGTTGAATTATATATTTCAATTGTAGTTACACTTGAACCTAATTCATCAAGATGTATTTAACAGTAATGGCTTTGGGAATAAAAATTTGTGATTGCTATATTCTAGGAAGTTCTGCTGGATTTTGATGTTTCTGTGTGCGATTCAGACCTTTATTTGGTCTTCTGCATTAAGGCTTCACATGGACTCATGTAATGTATTTTACACATGCAGTTTATAGCCACAGAGATAATTCATACTCATAAAATAGCTGTTGACATAAGCAAAAAACTTGGAGGAATCTCACTGCATTCTTTTTATCTTGTTGAACTCATGCAAAAGTACTTACACTGAAGTGTTAGGCTTTCCAATTATTGTGGGCACGTGTCTAAGATATTTTCATTGGAATTTATGGTTTGATGAAATAAAAATGAAATTTAAATCAACAAAATACCGTAGTGTAAGCCCATCTCGGTGACCTGCTTTATTTTAAGTAATGAGAGAAGAAATTCCAGTAGGGTTAGTTTTTCTAATTAATGCTTTTAAAAAGTGTTTCTTACTAGTGTCCTGGTATCATTGCTTTTGGTCTCTGCTGTGATTAGTTTTTCTATATTTATTGCAAATCCTACTTTTAAAATGTACTTTAGATTTACATTGGCATTTAAATTTATTCATTTGAATGGGATTTTGTTGTAATTTACTTCATCTGATTTTAATATGATTCTGAGGAAGATACATATATATGCTAAAGTAACCAGGACCATAGAATCATGGTATAAAAACCAATGAGAAGCATGTTATACTAATTATGTTCTCCTTTTAGTCTACTCCACAGGAAGGTTTTAGCAATGAACAGAAGTTACTAAACTATAAATTCTATGTTAGTAAAAAAAAAAAAAAAAAAAAAAAAAGGAAGGAAAGAAAGAAAAAGAAAAATGCAAATGTGTTGTTAGATTCTTGTGGTGCTTTAATTATTTCTTCCCGTGTGTTAGGTACGTTTGGTGATGGGGGGAGTATCGCTTATTTTGGGGGCATTACAACACCAATTCCAAATCTTTTAGTGGCTTCAAATTTTCTCTCAAAACAAATTAGTCTAGTGCTTCACTTCTACTAACTTGCTTAGTTAGAGTCATTCCTCTTCATCCAGTGCAATTTGTAATTCCTACATCCAAGTGGCAATGACATTTGTTCCTGCTCACATACATTTTACTCTTTTCTGCCTCCAATCCATGGAAGATAAGTCTTCCCTAGCCTGATGGGATTTCTTCTCCCTGTCACTCCACCAGTGTTTCTCACCTGTCCATATTCTGCTTCAAAGAAATACTTGTGTCCCAAAACTTCTTGCTCCTTCTGGATTTAATGATTCTAATTATTTTAACTACATTTAGGAAAATTAGTTTCGGCGAAGAGTTAGAAGACATGCTTCTCGTTCTTACGGTGCAATTTTTTTCTCCTTGTGACTGGGCAAGTTTCTTAACCTGCTTTCTGTTAACCTGTCTAACAGTAAGCTGGTAGAGATCATCATCTGGAATTAGAAGCCCTGGGTTTGAATTCTGATTCCCATACATATGATCTTGGGAAGTTTACCTACTTTTTTCTGAGCCTCAGTTTTTTTTCATCTGTAAAATGGGGGTAATAATAGAACCCTTCCTTATAGGATTGTGTGTGGAGTGAATGACTTAATATGGCGTAGAACAGCACCTGCTACATAGTATGCACTCAGTGAATATTACCTACTATAATCTGATAGGGTTGTTGTAATGATCAAATTAGATTACTTATATGAAAGAATTTGAAACTAACAAATCCAGTGGCAGCCTTGATTTAGCTGTGAGGACCCAGTTTGAATCTTGGCTCTAATACTTAGTGTGTGAATTTGGTTCATTTACCTTTTCTGGATTTCAGGTTCTTTATCAATATAATGGGAAAACGTACCTGTGAGGTCTCAAGCGGTGTTTTGAGGATTCAGTGAATTTTATGTGAATCACTTCTTAAATTGCAAAGTGCTACGTTAATTTTGCCTATTATTATTGTTCACTGTAAAAATTAGAGTACTTTTCCTTTAAAATGTCCAACAACTTTATTTTATATTGTCACACCAATTAGATCTGCTTATAGGATATTTATACTTTTGATTGTGTGTATGTGTTTATCTTATACACTCTTGAAGGAAAAATACCATTTTTTTTTTGATAGAACATTCCACAGCACTGAGGACATAGAAGGGGCTCAATACAGAGTGACTAAGATCAGAGGTGGTTATTAGATGATTTGTAAGGGAGTTAAGTGCCTAATTTACTCCTAAGAACAAGCAAATACTGGAAATAAAGGAATATGTAAAGTAGTGTATAAGAACATATGCTTTAAAATATGAATTCTCTTTTAATAATCCTTCTGAGAATATAATGATTTCAAAAACCTGTTTTTGCAGATAATTAAAAAAATATGTTCAAGGGCAACTGTAAAATGAAATGCAAAGTAGTATTTTTATTTTTTCTGAGGTACTGATTTTTGGGAGCTGCATATGGCAGTTTTTGTGGAACATATTTTTGTGTACATTTTTTTCTTTTTTTTTTATTATTTGAAATTCCATGCCTTTGTAAATCCAAGCCTTAAGCCTATTTGTTTTAAATGCCAGGTAGGTCCTCCAACTCAACGTTCTTTAAATATAACATTACAGCTGAAAAAGAAAGGTCCATCATTAATAAATCTAAGACCATGAGGAAATTGCCAAAAATTTGGCTACATTCCTGCGCAAATTTGCACATCCAGCTATGCAGTCACCAAGACATTTTTCTGTGCCTATATTTTAATGGATTTCCAGGAGACAGTTTTAGTTGCATTTCCTCTCAACTGTTAGTCACACACACCATATTTGGGATACTCAGAGTCCAATAAAGAATTTTTCTTTTTCATTAACATGTGCATGCACAGAATTCATTATACTGTACTGAGCAGGTAGATAAGTACACTCATCAGATATTTTACTTCTTTTTAAAATAAAAGGTGGTGTAAAACATCTCAAACATCTGATATTTTATATGTAATTCTGTCTTCTAAAAAGTTATTTTTGTTAGATAGAATAGAGGGCATGCTTAGTAAATGGTGAATAGTGATAATAGAATTTTTGTCTCATGTTTTTACCACAAGAATTAGGAATGATATCATTTTAATCCCAATTAGGTTAGTATTTAACAAATGCTAATTTGCTCTGCTGTTTTGAAATTCTATTTTCACATCTTTAGAACTGTAAGCCATTGTCAGATTATATTCAGTCAATGAAGGGTTGTGATTGCAGTTCAGAATCTAGTGGACTGATGGTTCTGATGGAAAATGTTTTTAGAAATACTATGTGTGATTTATTTTGCATTTTAAAGCCTCCCAGTGGTAAAATATTTTATATGGCAATAATGGCTTCTTTGCCATTCATTTTTCAGTATATTTCTTTATCATTTGAAACCACTTCTTACTACATAGAGTCTGATATATCACAAGTCATCATTTTTGTAAAATAAAATCAACTGCAATATGAGCTTGAAATAATATATGCTATTACAAGTATATTTTACTTCTGCTCCATTGTTAAAAAGGAGTTTCATTTTATGTTTCTGTAAAACTTCAGATATAATACAGTTAAATCATTTCGAAATTCTTTGATTTTACTAGTTTTAATTCCTAAACTGGTGATATTACCGGAACATGAGTCAGGACTACTTGACCAGGTACACAAAATTAGGTCTCAGCTATAAAGTCTGAATGGTGTGTGTGTGTGTGTGTGTGTGTGTGTGTGTGTGTGTGTGTATCCCTAAGTAATCATTTTTATGTTATAATAAGGATGTCAAAAACAAGCTCTTGCTACTTTGTTTTTTGGTGGGGGGCAGCCAGGCAGTCAAGAAATTACTTTAATTTCTCAATCTCATGGTTATTTGTCTTGAATTGGAAGTAATTCTACTTTATAGATGAATCAGGTTGTTCTAATTATACCTTATTGATTTGGCAACTTGGAACTAATTGGAGAGATTATATTTGAATGTTTCTGGGCTGGAACAATGTTTTTTTTTTTAAAAGTTAGTAAATTATTTTTTATTTTTGTACGTAGATTTTCTACAACTCTTCAATTATTGGACCTGAAGTGGCATGCATCATCATTTCTATTTTGTGTCTTTTAGTTTAGTCACATTTATATTCTTACATAGACCTTGATATTAGACATTTATATTCTTCTTTTGGGGAAGGAGGATATTATTGCTATTCAAAACTAGTTAGGAGATAAAAATAATAAAAATGAATGTCCACAATTCCAGGAAGCAGCGAAAATCCTTTCTGTATTCCAGCATCATTAGATAAAGCAAACTTAATAAAGAGTGTGGTTGTCAAGTACCTCACTGTGAGATTAATAACTAGTGTCAACCTCTATCTGACTGATTGTGAGAGATCAGTCCTCCTTAAGAACTTTGATTTTGTACAATTAGATTAATACTTTTTATTTCTATTGAAATATTAAATCAACTCTACGTAAAAATTAAAATTTAGTACCGAATCACCTTTTATGGGTCATTTTCATGTTAATAATCATGAATTACTAGAAATCACTTACTGGGATCTTCTTGAGCATTT